AACAAACACCAAATAAGACTTGAATTTTCTTTAGCTTGTCTCATGAACTGACCTTAGCTATACAACCATTGAAAAATTGAGAAGAAAGCATCAACTAGGTGTTTTGTGGTAGTACAAGACTATTCAATAGTGCAAATACATGATCTCGCAGAGAAAATTCAGGTCTCACAGCGTGTGTCTGACGTTTAAGTAACTGAGTCATTATCCAATGGTTTATATGTCTGACTTTGTTTCACAGTATAAAATGACTGTCTTCTAATGCTATTGGTGGGTAACTGCTTCACACTCGAAATAATTGAACTCAACTAACCACAGCTTTTATTAGAACTTCGAGGATCAGTTCTCATAAAAAAACACTAGTGAGCACATGGTTGTTACTAGTGTCAAGAGATCATAGTGACTGTTTATTTTTATTTGAACACATAAATATTGGCACTAAGGGACAATGAATACATAAGCGCCACACAAGTCACGTGATTCATGTGTGGGCTATGATACTTCCTGGGTGCGTAAACAGAAGCAGGTGGTTTTCTTAGAGGCCCATAACTCGAGCGTTCGATCTAAAGGTTTAATCCACAAGGCGATGGACCAACGTAAGGAGGTGCCGTCTCATGGTAACCAGTCATTAATAATTGGTACATACGCCATTTGTTTCCTCAGAATACTGGAGCCCATGTACACCATTGGTTTGGAATCAGGGTTTTCCAACTCCCTTAAGTGGACTTTCCATGCCCGCCGACCCGGTTAAAGCGCCGGACATCAGCTTTTCGTCTTCTCAATTTTGTAAACAATAATACCACGAGAAGGCAGTGAGTAGGACTTCCCTGCCAGTGGCTTTATACGCGTGGTCATGTGAGAGCATTTTGAGAGCAAGGGCGGACTCTCCCCACCCTGGGCCGTACTAGGGCATTCGGGGTCCATAGCGACTGTTACATAATTTCTACTAATAATAAGCTAATAGTTTTCACAGTAGACTAATAGCAGCTATATAAACATTAAAAATCAATGAGTAGTGAACAACTATTTCATCATATTTTAGAACTAACTAATTAGTAGTGGAAACTCATGACCCTCCACACAAAACAGATCGAGAATTTTAAGTTTTGAATGATGGTTTTACTTCATTAAGCCAGAATCTATTGGTTATTACCTTTCATTTTATTTAATGATAATACTTGTTTTGTATCCAAAGGTGTCGATGATATCCATCTCATTCCTGAGACTACTGAATTCTACAATCGGTAAACGTCTAACTAAAACTTGGAGAATCTATCTTTAAATTAGTTCCTAGTTAGGAAACGATAAATATTACAATAAACGAATGATAAAGATTTTTATATGAAGTTAACTGATATGATCTATTAAATTCACTTGATATTGTTTACTTGTATCTTCCCATTGTTATTTAGATTGGCATATGTGCAAACCGTGCGGACTGCCTCGATATTGCCTTTGACCACAAGTTTTATTAGCAAAGATGGATAGTGACTAGCACTGGTCTAAGGCAATATCGAGGCAATACGCACAGAATGAACATATGTCAATAAGAGACAGACTGATGAGTTACAGTCCTAAACAACAATGGGAAGATACAAGTAAACAACATCAAGTGAATTTAAAAACTTCACCCCACTGCAGAAGCAGGTGGCTCTCAGGACTCCATAGCTGAGTGGATAACGCGATGGTGTTTGTAGCGGACTGTATGGGGTTCGAGTCCCGGAGTAAAAATCATCCCTGAGATGCAGGTACATCCAGCTGACGAGCCCCAAATAGGACGAAACGTGCATCAAACTGGATTCCACTGCTAACCACTATCCATCTTTGCTGATATGAGTTATGTTTTTTTTAGAGCTTAAATGAATTTAGAATATAATATATTGCCATCACAACAATTAAAATAGGTTCACTTGGCTTTTAAGGTAAACTTTTGTTTCATTCAAGGATGTTCATATATTTATATTAGTAGTTACATAAGAATTATTGAGAGATTTATCAGGTTTTCCATGGATATTTCTCGAAACCTTAAGTAGAAGTACCTTAACAAATATGAAGTAGCGATTAATGGATAATGTTGACAAATAAGCATCTCCAACGCATTCAATGTGATTATAAGATGCATCTTAATTTCAGAGCCAATCATTATCAAATGTTTCCAACCTGACCAAATTATACAAAAGAATCTTTGTAAAACTGTTTATCCTCTGATTAGACTGATTATCACGAATCAAACTGATCCATTATAGGATTTCTTTTTGTCATTCTATCGAATTTCATTCATTCAATCCTATTCTGATTACTCCCATTGACTATGTGTTTTTCTTTCGATCTTACTAATATTATTACATGAACAATATAGTTGAATGCTACCGTTATAACCTGTCTCGTATAATCTCTACAGAGTTCACTTTATTAGAAATTAGATATATTAGAGAAAAATGTAGAGAATAGATTTACCAACAATTTCATGATTTGTCCTTAAATGTGTTACTTATGTAATCCGAGAATGTACTTTAGAAATACGCATTAGTTAACGATACAATGTACAACTATATACAATTAATTGGTTTTTGGTTGAGGTCATGAATCGAGTGATGTTAGACCAGCACTACTATTGAGAACCCAGAAGCACTGGATGATCGTTTCGTCCTAGCATAGGATTCCTCAGCAGTGACTAGCTTCGTAAGGGAATTCTCGGGATCCTAGTGAGAAGCTGTGACCAGTGGAGCTAATGCAGGTAACTTCCTCAGTACAATGGAAGATGGTCGCGCAATTTAGTGAATTGGTTGAAGTTAGACATTAACATCGTTGGATACCAGCTCAGTGGTCTAGAGATTAAGCGTTGGAGCGCGAGTCCGAAGGTACTGGGTCGGAATCAACCGTGTGTGACCGTGGATGTGCACTGTTGAGGAGTCCCATACTAGGACGAAACGGCCATTCAGTGCTTCCATGTTCTTAATAGTGGTCCAGCATCAATCGACTCATGATCTTAATCAAAAAACTTAACAATCGCCACAACTCCATACTGATAATTAATTGATTATTGATTTTGTCTGTCTTTAGTTGGTTTGTTCCAAACTTTCTCTTTTAATTTCACATTGTACATAATATACACGACTATGGGTTAGATTTCACACCACAAAATCAGGGTGTTGATACAAACAAGGACTTAACAGAGTTTTGTATTTGTATATAACTATCAAATGACAGAATTAGAGCACTAAATAAACAATCATTATATGCCGTTTGAAATTCAGTAAATAGTCAACTGATTTCATGCTAAAATTGACTTTATAAATGGACTGACACGTTTCTCAGAATGAGTTTTGGAGGCTGCTCACTATATAGTTCACATTACAGACTGACTTTAATTACATAACCGGTAAGAATCGGAAATTATTAAGCATGTTTCATCGTCGTATAAAACCCCGTAACAGAATACACCGGTCAAACACAGGACCTTCACATTTAGCACCACACTTATGCCTTCAGACCATAGAGTTGACTTCTATTCGTTCACGTTTCCAACTAAAACAAACCTACCTCACACAAGAAATCCTGAAGTCCTCGAAGAAGATAATAACCTTAACTGAAAAAACAAAACATTAACCTGAAAAACACTTCCTGAAATTATGGGTCGATTATTGAGCTCTGTTAAGGTACTGTAATTTGTATGAGTGGAAGTAGCTAATAGAGTCATAAAGGGATGCTTCCAATACAACACTTTATCAAAGATCGGTAGACAGATCAACGAATAATATTCGGTGGTAACAGTGTAACAATAAGAACGGACAACACCAGACTTGTGATAAGCTGAGGAAATTAGACAACATCTAAAGGCCCAATGGCAAGGGAGAGATCCTGATGGATGGATGATATTAGTCAAGATTTGACTTAACTATCAAACGGAACAGAAATACACTATTGTTATCTGAGGGACATAAAATATCAATGTGTTTGTGCAGATATTTGGTTTGGTTAGCCAACAGAATCATTCCACTCACTCTTGATTTCTCCACACAAGTAGCAGGCTAGGCGCGCATGACATAATTATATGGAAGAGAGTCTTCATTTCTCAAATAATGGCAAGGGGCTGATAACTTAAGAGGATTATGTTTGATATTATTTGCTTAAAATTATTCGAAAACAAATCCTTGAATCTCGGTTTTGTGCGCAATATCACTCATCAATAAGGCATATTCATTCGAGGTAGCTGATTACAGTAACACCTTTATTACAAGAAGGAAATCTGCAAAGCTCAAACCTATTAACAAAGCTGTTCACTAATTAAAATAAGAATAGGGTTTTTGTGGATATTATAGTAATTTCAATAGTTGAGAACATGTGTCGATTGAATCTAGACCACCATGGAAAACCTAGAAGTACTGGTTGAAGTTAGACATTAACACCGTTAGATACCGGCTTAGTGATCTAGAGGTTAGGCGTTAGCACGCGAGATCTATAGGTCCTAGGTTCGAATCTCATGGGGCGGATCATGGATGCTGACTGCTGAGAAGTCACACAATAGGACGAAATGGCCGTTCAGTGCTTCCAGGTTTTCCACAGTGATCTAACTTCAATTGACTTATGATCTCAACCATTCAAGTATATAATTTATCAATAAAACATTAACCATTATTATATACACCATTTTATTATAATAACATTCTATATAAAATAAGAACAGTAGAAAGAGCACATTCTTTTTCTTAAGAAATATAGCCTATTCAACATACAAACAGAAGTATAACAAAATACACAAATAGGAAGAGGGGAAATGTCATTCCATCAACCAAACAGAAACCATAATTATTAAGAATTAAGGACCTACATACAGTACAGCTTCATATATATAATCAGCTTAGAGTTATATTGTTCATGTAAGGCATAAAGTTACTTACATAGCTATTCAAACCGAACTAGGTACGATAGAATCGTAACCTTTGCCCATCTCTAGTTGGAAACTAAGTGATTTATTTTTTACATTACATCATCGATTATGAATAAGAAAGAGAAGTGAAAGGATAAAACAATGACAAAATATCAAGAAATGGGAAAGGATATTGAAGAAATTCTGTAGATTCAGGTTAGATACTTGATTCCAATCAGTTAATTTACAAAATGCATTGTAATAAAAAGAAAAAAAAAGTATTACATTTTCTTTATTACAATCATTATTATTTCACTTTTAATTCTTGCCATTCTATTTCATCATCTGTTCCAATGGAACTTGCTGAATGGGAGGAAGATGATGAAGAACTGGACGATGAAGGAGCTGGTGACGGAGGTGGTGACGAACATGAAGATGAAGAAGAGGAGGTTGAACAAGAAGATGAAGAAGAGGAGGAGGACGACGACGACGGAGTAGGTGATCGTCGTTTAGACACTTTGGTTTTTTTCTTATGTTTCTTTTTCTTGTCAGTTTTCTTATGCTTTTTAACTTTCTTCAATTTAGTTTTACGTTTTTTAGCATGTTTTTTCTTCGATTTTGATTCGGATAATTTATGTTTAGTTTTCTTTTTTGATTTTGTCAATGCTTCTTGTTCTTTTAATTTGTCAACAGTATGTTGATATGGTAGTTTAGGTGTTATACTTGATGTGACTGATTTTGATTTTACATCATCGATACTTTCAGAACGTTTAAATGGGATAGGACCTTCATTTTGTAATTCATCCCAACCATCATGACCCCAACGACCAGTGTCACAGTGTCGACGAGCAAGTGTTCGCCAAAACTCTTTAGCATTTTGTCCACCAGCAGCGCTTGGTAATGTACGAGCAGAAAGTAATTCTACACTGCGTTTAGCTTCTGAACGAAGTGCACGCTCATAAGCATCTAGTGCTTGTTCTGATTGAGCACAGTTTGATTCAGGTGATCGATCACGAGATTCACTTGATCTTTTATGACGGCGTTTTATTTCTCTCCAACATTGTTCTTCTTCCAAGACCTATAGAAGATTAACCAAGTGGAAACTAGTCAGAGTCCATGGAATAACATGTAAATACATATTATTAACTTGAGAAATCAAAAACTCACTTTCTGTTCTGTTGATCCAAGCTAGATAGCAAGCACAAAGTAATATATGTAGAAGAGTTACATAATTACGCTAAAATAATTCTTAACATTGTGTGTTACTGAGCATTCTCACTTCCTCAAACTTGAATCTATCACTCTCCATTTGTTTCCACAGCCCGTTGTTCCATCAACCTGACATTTAACTATTGTCTAAGAAGTCAAGTTTCGCTTGTCACATTTTATTTATATCTTGAAAAATAAACTTAACTATAGTTTTCCAATTGTTATGAAGCTTAATAGCTTTCAACTCATACGCTTCAACGTCCCCTTAAGTTGAACATTAAGAAATGTTACGGAGGAAAGCTGTATATCTAAGTGTAATACCACTCTATACCACAAAGGTATTTTCTAGCTGTTAAGTCAATCAATCAGCTACAACGTAGAACCAAGTACATCGATTTTAGGCCACGTCACCCAGAGTCCTCAACCATTTAGCTACGATAGTTACGAGGACCTAAACCAAGTACTCTGCATCTACCAACATGGCTCAGAACAGAAGTTTGTGACTTCAAAGACTGATGCCACGTCTTGGTTTGATCACCCATAACTAGCTGTTAAACCCTCTCGTGAAGGTAATTCTAAGTTATTCCAGGTAAAACCATTATATTCCAAAGTGAGTTTCGTGCATAAATTGGTCAGTAAACAGTTACATTCCAATGCACAATGTAAGTATTCGAAAATTCACTTCAGTGAAAAGCAAGGAATTAAAATTCGCCAACAGTGGACAATATTTTAAATCATATAGTTTGGAACCGTATGAACACTTTCTTTTACAAATATTGTACGAATGAAATCATTCCAAACATTAAACGACTTCTATGCAACTATGGTTGTAACTTTTATACCAAACTATCAATCCTATGAACATTACGTTTGAAGACAATTTGTGGCTAGCAGCGGAATACGGGACGCGCGATTCGTCCTGCTTGAGACACGTCGGATAGATGTACCTGCACCCCAGAGCTGATGTTCACTCAGGAACTCGAACTCAGTACCGTTCGCTCCAAATACCACCACGTTATCCTTTTAGCTATTGAATTTTGATAGCCAATTGCTTCTGCGATGGGGTGAAGTTTAAATCCACTTGGTATTGTTTGTTTTAATCTTCCCATTGATGTTTAGCACTGCAATTGGTCGGTCTCTTATTGGTATACAGCTAATGAGTCCCAAATAGTACGAAACGCGCATCAAACTGGAATCCGCTACTAGCCATCAACCATCTTTGTTTATAAAGCTTGCGAATTAAAGTAATATCGAAGCGATTCGCAAAAGATGCACTCTTCTCAAACTATTGAACACCCAAGTAGTATCAATACCCCTATTTAAAAAAGCCGATGAATTAATCCTTTTTACGTGAATACTATATATCAATAGATTCTAGTTGAAATTCGAAACTACAACTAAGGAAATAGTTAGTGATTATTGAGTTGATCAATATATTTATGTCATGTGACCAATAATTTGTGCTTTAAACAATTCAGTCAGTCAGTCAGCAACAATACAGAACTTCGTACCTAAGTACATCAGTTCAAGTTGTCATACCACATTAGCACAAAGATACAAATGTCGATTCAAATGCCATAGTGGTCGGGGTAGTAAAAAGATAAGCAGTAATTGGAAAGATTCGGGTTTTAAGGAGTATAATCCAATGAAATAAATTTGGAAAGAGAAAAAAAGGGGACATAAAGAATTCAGAAGATTAGAATTTGGTAGAACAAAAAGCTTTAAACAAATACTAAACACTGTTGATAATTGAATTGTTGCTGTTGTTTGTTTTTCTATTACGCAAATTTCAATGGCTGAGATCACGAGTCAATTGAAGCTAGATCACCATCAAAAACGCGGAAGCACTACACAGCCTTTTCGTCCTATTGTGGGACTCCTCAGTAGTGCACATCTACAATCCTGCTCGCGAGATTCGAACCCAGGACCTATCAGTCTCGCGCGCGAGCGCTTAACTTCTAGACCAATAAGCCGGTATCCAACGGTGTTAATATCTAACACTTCAACCAATCCACAAAATTTAGCGACACATCCACCATTGTCATCAGTGAGTTACTATCTCACAAAAGATCTACAATAGAACGAAACGGCCGTCCAGTGCTACTAGGTTTTTCATGGTGGTCTAGCTTCAATTGACTCATGATCTCAACCATTGAAATTATTATAGTATCCACAAAACCCTTCTGATATATACAAATGTTAAATTCACCAAAAAATCTGTATTAAATTCATGATTAGTCGGGCAATACTTACTCGATTATGTGTAGTAGCATGTTTAACATAATTATCAACCAACTTTTTATCCTGGAATGTAAAAAAAGGGGGGGTAATTATTAAAAAAACATGTTTCTGTGTTAAAACAAATATATGAAATGTAACTTGACTATTAAATACTTTCAATATACAATACTATTTTGAACAGTTGGTAGTGAACGAATGTTATAACTTGTGCTCTGTTTCCTATTAATGTATGATGTAACGATACCGTCAATTAGAGAACAGTGTATTATCGACCATACCAATGACGTATAAAATAAGTACGAGCAGTCTAAAGTCGTTATCGGTCCTTCTTCCTGCCTAGCCCTGCCTGTTAAGTCTAGAACACCAATCTCAGCCTCTGAGATATGAATCATTTATTTCAACCATACTGGGTTTACATACACCAGCTAAATAGATCACATTGTACCATAAAATAGAAAATAACACTTGTACAAGATTTGGACAAAAGTGGCTGTGAATGTGGAAGGTAATAATTGATAGACCAGATATAACTCAAGAATGGTGAATCGTATAGTAATAGTTCATAAGTCAAAATAAAGCCTATAATAGAGGAACATGAATATGAATAGTTCAACTACTTAACAATTATACAATAAAAATATACTTAAAATATTAGTCCAAAAATAGATCCCAACAGTCCCTATTCATTATGCTCATCGGGATATAACAGAGTGATTAGTATCAGATGGGTTTTGTGGAGATTGTAGTAATTTCAACGGTTAAGATCATGAGTCAGTTGAAGCTAGACCACCATGGAAAACCTGGAAGCACTGGACGGCCGTTTCGTCCTATTGTGGGACTTCTCAACAGTGCGCATCCACGACCTCACCCCCTGCGAGATTCGAACCCAGGACCTACTGGTTCGCAGCTCAGTGGTCTAGTGATTAAGTGCTCACGCGCGGAGCCACTAGGTCCTGGGTTCGAATCTCGCAGGAGGCGAGGTCGTTGGTGTGCACTGCTGAGGAGTCCCACAATAGAATGATTAGTGAATGTTAATAACCTGAAGTTATTTAGAAAGTTTTTAATATTCAAATGTGTCTATGTATGTGTTTATGTGTCGTATCCAGTACTTTTAGTCATTTTCATTGTTCATTTAGGAGATGAATGTTGTATACTGGAGCCTAATTTTCAATGAAGATTTTAATTTCATTACGTTTGTTTATCAATTGGTATATTGGGTAATATAATATTAGATGTGTTGATAACAGATATTTTCAGATAACTTGAAATGAAACAGTTCATGAAAACTACATTAAAATATATGTCACTTATTCACTCACTGAAAGATAACCGAAAGTGTTGAGTATGATACATTTACTGGATATTGAAAACGTTGAGGATAAGTTCAGCAATATTAATGAATGTAACTTGAGAGAGAACAAACCAGGTTCCAACTGAAGAGGAAATTAGGAAAAGACTGTGGAAATGGACAGGACATACATTACAGAAATTAGCAAACTGCATCACGAGGCAAGCCCCAACCTGGAATCCTGAAGGGGAGCGGAAGAGAGTAAGGCTAAAGAGCATACTGCATCGGAAAATAGAAGCAGATATGAAAAGGATGAATAACAAATGGAAAGAACTGGAAAGGATTGTCCAGGACAGAGTTGGGTAGAGAGTACTGGTGGGTGGGCTATGCTCCTCGACGAGGAGTAACAGGCGTAAGTAAGTAAGTAAGTAGATTCTGAGTATGTACTAATCTACTGGAATTTAAATCACAAATAAGGATAGTGATATTGTATAACTGAAGTAAATAAAGCAGGAATTGAAACCACAACAAAAGATTGTTGAAAGTTAAATGATATGATCATTGAACCACTTATACACTGTCAATAATATTGAAAGAACCAATCCTTGCAGTTGACTCAAGTCGATGTTACTTATTATCAGTTAGAAACATTGTCACTGAAATATTTCGGTTAATAATGAATTCAGTTTGATAATAAATTTTGAGGTTATTAGAAGTTATCTGATAAGACTAACATATGAAAAAATTAATCCTCTAAAAATACCCGAATGGTGCCATTAAATATCAAAGTCACCTAGGCAAGCTTTGATTTGTTAAATAGATCAATGTTAGACGGATTTTATTGATCAGTAATACTAAACTATGATTACTATGTTAGTCAGTCAGCTACAACGTAGAACCAGGTACATATATGCATCGGTCCAAGTTGCCATACCTCATTAGCACAACAAGATGAGGACCGAATTCATGGAAGGAGTTACTTCAATGGTAGTAATATGTTTCTTTTTTAAAAAAGGGATTGCATATAAGGATATGATACAGAGAGAAAGAATTGGTTCGTAGAAAGAAAGTTATAAAGTAATTTTAATCTCACGGTTTAAGGTAGGAAAAAGAGTGTATACACCTACGCCATTATTATGTTAAGCTATTAACTGTGCTGAAATGAAGAATGGATAATGACAGGAAGTTGATAAAAAAACACGTCATATAATCTACAATTTGTGCTTCATTAACAAGGTCGATGATCATCTATGAACTCGGTGAGTATGAATGTTTGAATTTTACTCACAGACGTTATCAAGTGCGATATTCATTACATAACTATTTCCTAAATGTACTAATTCGTTTGTCCATACAGAGTTAAATTATCTAAACTTTTGTTCTCATTATGAGTAGTATACTTACTAAAGTCTTTAGTTAAAGAAATTCAACCATTTATAAATAAAAGAAACGACAAATGGATAAAAAGCTATGCATGAGAATACAACAAAAGATTTCATTAATCAAGAAAAATGTTGAACATTATCATTACAACCGAGTCTTATATTTTACATTTATAAGGTGGTCGATAGATTTGACAATTCTATTCACTAAAAATTGTCTATAAAATGAACTACAGCCTACGAAGTATCACTCAGTTAGTTATAAGCAACGTGTAACCTGTTATATTTGTGCAATGGTTCAAAGTATCACGTCATATCAGCACACACAGTTCAAATTACCAGGAAAAATCTCAGAGTAGTAGAAGTAGTAACAGTATCAAAGATGATAGGAAACACTAAGCATAAACAATATGATTTGAAAAAAACGGATAAATTCTCATCATATAAGTTGTAATTTTAAGGTCCAGGATCGAAGAGAAGACAAAGAACCAATATATCTGCAATAACGTGACCTATTATTACTCATATATAATACTTCCATGTTATTTGGTTTGATGTAAATTAGACAATGACACCGCTGGATGTCGTCTCAACGGTCCAGAGTGTAAGTATCCGAGATAGAGACTGAAGGTTTTTGAGTCGATTCTCAGACGTAGAGCTGTGGATGAGCATTGTTAATGAGTCCCATACTATGAAAAAATAGCTTTCTAGTACTTCCAAGTTTTAATGGTAGTCTAAGTGAAATCAACTCGTGATATACCGTTTGATACTATTCAGATGAAATTCTACTCCGACCTAAAAATTACTGCCAGTCAGATTTATAAATGAAATACTGGTTATCACAGCTTCGGAAAAATTTAAAAATAGTTTCCATTGACTTCAATTATCAGTGACATTATGTGATATGTAGAATCAGATCGGCTTTCAACGACTTTAGCTATAAAAATCATGTTCAATTACGCTACATACCTAAAAAATGCATAATGCGTTACGAGATGATTGTGTACACATATAGCTTCGGTTCTGTCTTTCGACTAAAATAAGATTCAGTTGAATTTTTGTGGAGATTGGTTTAAATTGTAGGTTGTATTTGCCACAGATTGACCTCAGATGGGGTACCATTGAAAACGACAGAGCAATGAACAGTCGTTTCACCCCAGTGTGAGGCTCCTCAGTGATGCTCTGCAAAACCTAAAGGTTTTGGGCTAAGTCCCTGACAGGATCACAAGTGCCCAATACTGACGAATAGCATAGTAAGATAAGACACCAACTCAGGGCTCTCCGGCTTTCAATGGGAAGTTGAAATTCATAATTCGTGACCAGTGGAGCTAATCCGTGTCGGATAGAGATTGGTATGTGCTTCAGCACAACAGGAGATGGTCGCGCAATTTCGTGGACTGGTTGAAGTTAGACATTAACATTGTTGGATGCCGGCCGGCTTAGTGGTCTAGAGGTTAAATGTTCACGCGCGAGACTGAAGCCCCTGGGTCTGAATCCCTCGAGTGTGATCGTGGATGTGCACTGCCGAGGAGCTTCATACTATGACGAAACTACCAATCGTAAAACAATTAATAATCCTATTAAATAATTATTGCAGTAAATGAAGTATTCTCATAGTGTATCATAATGTAAGTTAGCTATAATTAACATAGAGACTGAAACAAATCTACATTGGCCCAAAGAACTAAACCATATTAATATAACAACACCAAAATCTTGTAATAGAGACGAGAACAAGACTAAATATTTACGATACGGTTTAATAAAAAAAAAGTGGAACAAAAAGGTATACGAAAAAGAATACTAAAACTCATAACTTAGATTAAGTGAAGAAGTGAATAAACCTACACCACTACTATCTATTTCTTAGTCAAGTCAACCAACGTATTTAGTCACTAGTCATAATTACCGTGAGAATCATAACCAGATAGATAGTATCTAACAACATAAACTTAATACAGCGGTCGATTACCTAATGAACTGATGACAAATCTTAGTTTAACCACTCCTAACTTTCTAGTTCAAATAAATTTACATAGAATTAGTCAATGATGTTTGTAAAATCACAATACAACCATTTATTACCCAGTATTTGGCATGAAACACCTATTTTTCTTTTAAACATACAGAGTAGTATTTATATAAGTGAAACATTCATATAACTTCAAAGAGCCATGTTTAATTACATAAGAAAATTTATTTATTTAAACACATAAACATCGGTACAAGGAGGCACCAAATAGATATGCGCCACATAGACCATTCGATTTACGTGAGGGTTGGGATACTTCCCGGGTGCTAAGACCAAAACAGGTGGTTTTCTTAGGGGACCATAACTCAAGTGTTCGACCTAAAGGTTTAATCCACAAAGCAGTGGAGCAATGTTAGGAAAT